TGCGGTCATTGGAGAGCTTGGGGAGAGATTCCGAGCTCGGGAAGTTGAGATACTGGAATTCCATGGCTGGGTAGTGTTACTCTAAAGATTAGTCGTCGGTGAATGAATTGTCAGTTTGCTTTGTCGTTTCAGCGCCGTCCATTGACCCCACCAGCCGGACATGTCAACGTTTAGGGACAAGCGCCCAAACTCTCCTGCATTGACTTCTCAACTCAACCTCTTATATTTCCCGGCCATCTATCATACTATCAATTGTTTCGATCGCCCCTTGCTCTTTTCCCGCGAAAGTCTTTGCGCAAGTCCCTCTGATATCCGCTGTTCTCCTCCTGGCGTTGCAGAGTACAACAAATCCAGTAGACCTCTCGACTGCGCGCGCTTCATTGTCATCTCATCCTAAATGGATTGCGACGGTGAAGTATTGTTGAATTGTTCTTGTGAATCGTCCGTGATTGTACCCATGGGCCTCGTTCTATTGATCATGTGAAGCTGATTCATGCTACACGTCGCAAGTTCCTCACTTCATCAGGAAGGCGCTCTTGGCCATCCGTTCTTCACTTCTTTCCCTTTCGCCCACACCCTCTCTTTGAACCCCTCACTTGCTTTTAAGATCGCACTCAGCATACTCTGTCAAAGTTCTTACACCCAGACATACCTTCATGTGCTCGCTCGCTCGCTAATCACAGACGCCTCAATACCGTCAACCTCCATCCGCCTTGCAGCACTGTGGAAAGTGCACTCACATCACGCTTCGAAGGCGTCCCTCCTGTCTGATTGTGGTCCACGTGCTGCCGACACAATGGTATGGTGGTCAAATCTGGCGGCTGATGTATTCTGACTAGAGCCTGTAGACATTTTCCTCCCCCTTGAGGCCGTCCATCAACATATTCGATGCCCTCATCGATAATCCTTATGATCAGAAATCTGAAGCCGCACATATCTCTGCAGTAGAACGCCCAGCAAGCTACACCTCGGAGAGACAAAGACATCATATTGCGCGAGTCAACCATGGAGAGATCCCTGGTGATGGTATGGCAAAGAAGTGCCGCGGCAGTCGTGCGGCCAAGTGGAAGCCCTTTGATTTCCGTGACTCACACGAAAGCGACCTGGCTACCCTCCTTGAATCATCGAGGAACACTCCTCTTGACGTACATGCAAAGGTTTTCCAGCCTACCCCTCCTCTCCGGGAACGGACTGTCGATAATTCCTGCGGCGACTTCTCTCGTCCATCCGAGTACTCTCACAATTCCCGGCCCCAACATGACGAATACATGTTGTACGCGGGTAATCGTTCTAGAGAACCTGGATTGAACGCCTATCACATAAGAGAAGAAAGCCGCACTCCGGCCGTGACTGCCCCGTACGACAAGGTGGAGATCAATGAGATCTTCGGCGCTGAACTTCCTTCTCCTACTTACTGTCAATCGCATCCAGGCACCAGCAATGGCCAGATACAGTTTTGCATACATCCCAACGGCGATGTTTCGGCTCAGCAATGGTTTGACACTCAGTATCAATGGATCAATGTCGGGCAATACTCAAACATACGCAAACGCACAGAAGGCCAGCTTGCAAGCGATCGTCTGAAAGGAGAAACCGAGGAACAATCGCTACGGAAAAACACATTGGCTTATTTTCATGCCATCGCGAAGCAACGTGAGGCTACTGTCATGGGACACGCGTTTGGTATCGAGGAGATACAAGGCTGTCTTTCCAATTCCTCTGCTCACCCAACTAGGACGGTCGATTCCTCCTTTCAGTCGGCTTCCAATGCTTCTTTACAACCTCTTGTCCCTGCCTTCCCCAGAGCAGGGGTGAATGTTCACGCGGGAGAATCTCGAGACATGCCGGAGCAGGCAGATTCTGCCGACGATCCATTCTCGTCACAGGACTCTCCGACCCCTGCCACGACAGCGCAGCGATCGTTCCTCTCAGCATCTGTAGATGCTCCCTCTGACAGCAGCTACAGCACCCTAACTTTTGGCGCGACTTCTTACATAGCGGGCCTTGAGAGGGGACAAATGACAGAGCCAAGTGCCCTAGGGACACCACGTAATTTCGGCCATTTGCCTCTTATTTACGGACCTAGTGGACGAGTAGAACATGGCCGTAGTGACAATCCTCATACTCGGACCCACGCTTTTTCTTCTGATAGGGCTAAGTTTCAGATTGGTTCTGGAGAGCAACGATTCGATGGACACGGCCAATCATATTTCAGAGATGTGGTGCGGAAACACAACGACTCTACCTCATCACGAGGTACCGGCACTGGAAGTAGGACAGTCATGCATGACCCATTCAAGGAGACTCAGAGGTCTTTTCCTGCTATAGCGACAGCCGAATATCCAGAATTCAACTCTGCGCAAACGACTCCAACTCCTTCAGGTCCAGCAGAGTCACTTAACTATAGCTTACTCTATCCATACAATACAAATGATCCTCGGGAGAGGGGAACAGAGGTTTCCAAAGGATTTACTGCCGCTAATGACGTGTACAATGTCGGATCGAGGCTCAATGGCGATTCCATGTTACTCAAACAAGCCCCTACGCCACAACTGCTGGATGAAAGATCTCTACCTGTCTCTTTGAGACACGCGTCATGGCCACACCATCGTTTAGCCGAAATTTCAGACTACGATGCAGAACTTCGCAATTGGTACAGGTCTGGAAACAAGGCGGAACGCCATGAAGACTTCTACCAACGCATTCTTTCCTATCATGCTGTGATTGAGGCTATAGGCTCATCTGTTGCCGGGCCAAAATCCCGCGATCCAGGTATCATTGGACCTCCGACTGCTGACCGTGTCCAGCCGGCTAAGGGTAAGCGTGGCCACGGACTCCGCTATGACCCTGTGATCACCAGACTATTGATACCGGTGATGGAAAACCTCGCGTCGTACGTCGAGGGCCCGGCCGAGCAACGCCATGGATACTGGGCCCCCTTCACTGCTCCACCGGAATGGGCCGTCGACAAGAGTCTCAATGGCAACGTGAGTTTCTTCGACGACGAATGGGGTAAGCCGCCTGAGAGAATTGGACGAGATCAGAGATACCGAGCACTTGACAGCTTAAACTTCAGCAGGACTAGCAGTGGCATGACAAGCCAAATGAGCAGGAGCAGTAGTCTGAGCGGTGCTGCATCCGGATTACTCGCGTCAGATGCATGGAGTCCGACCGCACAAAGGTTGCCGCTGTAATCGAACAATGGGCTCAAAGTATCATGGTTTATGAGGCATGGATTGGTGAAATGCATATTTTGCTGAGGATTCGAGTCGCTACCAGAGACAGGCCGAAGAGGAAAGAATCATGAGAATCGCTGCTATACGAGGTGAACGATCCACCAGAATAGCCAATCACTTGACGACTTTTTGCTTTCATTGATCGTGGTATACATCTATATAGCCGAGTCACGCGGCCGTCTTTTCCGATGCTTGCCTTTTGTCTTGCCGATGAGCCGCTGGGTGCAGTGATGTTTCGGAAAATCCCTCAAGCGGTCCAGACGTCTTTGCCTACACCCTCGATCCAGTTGCCCAGCCTGTTCACGCCACGATCCCACTCTTGCAGTCGGTCGCGCATGCTCACGATCTGGCCCCGATCTAGCACCTTTGGCTGCACCCAGCTGACTCTAGCCACCTGGGCGACCTCGTCTATCTGTCCCTTCAGCAGACCCAACGACAGCGCCTTCATGATCAAGTGCTCGATCTCGTCGGGGCGGACTTTCGTCTCGGCCGCGATGGTCGAGAAGGTCATCGCCCGGTCGTGAGGCGGTCTGCGGAACACGACTTCCGTTAGGGCGGAGAGGGAGATCTTCTGGTACAGGAACGTAGCGTGTGATTTGAGGAGCTGGTTCTTGTCCATATTCGCCGCCAGCACGTCATAAGCGCCCAAGTCGCCCCTATTGAATGCGAGGAGCAGATCGCGCAGCCACGCGTGCTCTGTGTTGACTAGGCTGTCCAAGATCGGATGCAGTAGCAGCTCGCCGAAGTTGTAGATCGAGTCGCTGACCAGTGCTGCGACAGATAGGTCATAGGCGATCTGCTGCCGTTCTGGCGTTGAGAGGTCGGATAGCTCGATGCAGGCCAGGTATAGTAGGGTGTTGCGGTAGTATGGTGCAAAGTCTTGCTTCGCTTGATAGTAGTCCGCACTGACGCGGTAGAAGTTGGCGTGCACGACTGATTCCACGCTGTCGAAGGTGTCTAGGATGGTTTCACACGAGTCTAGCGTGCTGCGAGCAGCGGCTGTCTCGCTGAGGACGAGCTGTACCGACGCGACGGCAGAAAGCGCGTAGACATATGCGTCTTGCGAGGAGGGTTTGTTGACATCTTTGGAAAGAGTAGTGAGGAAGGTGAGGCGGTCTTTATCGGCTGGGCAGGTATTAGCGAAATCACTACAAGAGCGCTCAAAGGTAAACTACATACATGGACATTGTGAGGCTGTGCTGAGGCCCAACCGTACGAGTTGAAGTTGATTGATTTTGTCGGCGAAGCTCTTGATGAAGGTGTTATAGACAGGTATCCGCTGGCTGGCGCTCTGGTCCTGGTGGAAGAAGTCGACCAACAAATCCGTCAACTCGTGCCATAGTTTGCGCTCCCAGTAGTCTTCGAATTGAAGAAAATAGTGCTGCAAGTCATCTGGTGCCTGGTCACGTTGATCCGCTAGGAAATTGGGTATCTTGTCGTTGTCCATGATGAGTGTGAAGGGGAAAGTGCAGTGGTGATGATCGGAGTCGATGAACTGGAGACATCTACAGCTCGAAGCTCCGCCAACTCGCGCCGCCAAGACTTCAGAGCGCGCTCAAAACGGAAGTATCTGTCTTCTACGAATGCATCACAAGGAAAAATTGAATCGAGATAGAAAACAAATATGTGCTCTTTGTTCTAGAAGCACTGAGGAGGATTATTTAAGGTTACAAGATACCTAGAGTGACACTGCAAAATATGTCAAATTTTGACAAAGATATATGATATTTGTAAACGACAGCGTTGTCATGAAGCAAGATCATATCCGATGTGGTGTAGTGGCTAGCATCCGTCGCTCTCAAGTTCCATGATCAGGAACAAGGTCCGACGAGACCGGGGTTCAATTCCCCGCATCGGAAGTTCATTACCTTTTTGTATTTTTGTGCCTATATCGATCATCCTTGCGAGTCCGAATATTGCACGATATCGTCTTCATTTTTGTGACTGCGGATGCAATGAGAGACTCTCTATTGCGCTCGTGACCAAAATATGCCCATCTGCATCGAATGCGGTTTCAAGATCGCCAATCTCTACACCACATACAGCAAAGCTGACGATCGATCACTCGGCAAAGGTGTCCGCTTGACACAATGCCCGCGATGCAAAAGATTCGCAGATAAATATGTCGAGCACGATTATGTAGTCATCTTCATCGATCTGGTGCTTATCAAGCCTCAAGTACGCCGTCACTAGTAAATCTCGGGATACACCACGCTGACGCATATAGGTCTACCGCCATCTTCTCTTCAATCGACTAGCCCGACAAGGCGATAGATTTGATGTATGTATCTCTGCTCTCCGTACCATTCATGCCAATCTCTGACCACAAACATAGCCCTCGATTATACGACTGGGGGTATTACTGCTGCTATTCGACGTCTATCTGACATGGGCGCGAATAGAAAAGGCAATATCTCCTTTATCCAGTTCTACTATCCAGCCATCGCATCAGCCTATCTCTTCCGCCCTTCAGGCCGGCAATAATTTCACTTCTAATAACACTGCTTCTGGCAATTCTACTCTTCTCGACGACACTTCTTCACGCCACCAGAACGGAGAGCCATTCTCGGCCTTTTTGACCACTCAGCCGATTTTGATACAATACATATTCTTCCTTACGCTTTGTTTCAGCGAAACTGCCGCTTTTCATCTCCCCATCAGATGGCTGCTTGGTCTCTTCCCTCCGTCGCAACAGTCATCAACACCAGCCAAACATGGCTCTCCTCGTCTGAGTTCAAAAGATTCATCAACCACCTCCCCATCGACTCAGTCAGCGCAGTCCGTCGCATCGAGCGATGGCATTGATACGAGTAGATGGATCCCTTATTATCCTCACCCCTCGGTGATCAGTACGGCGTTATTAGTCTCTAGTTTCACGAAGTTGTTCCCGCTACTATTGCTCATTTGGTCGTATGACCTTCCCTCATCGGCATCAGCCGTGAGTTGGGCCGTCATTGTCAACAATGTCGCGGCTCTAGAGATACTGTTGGACTGTGGCTTCCCTACAGCCATCTGCCTAGCAGCGGTTGGCGCTGTCTGCAGAGGGCTCGTTGGCTGGGGTGTATTGCGTGCCGTCGGAGTCGAAGGAGGCGTTGCGGCTGCTGGGGTCGTTGAGACTGGAGATCTGCTGGATCTGTGGCGGCGAGTAGCGGGACACCTCGGATGGGCTTGAAGCCTTTCCAACGTAATGATACACAAGCACCTGATAGGTCGCCACAGCCAATACGTGACGCGCAGTTCTCATTTAGGCGACGCCTTTCCGAATGAATAAATATGATAATTTGATTTGTTCATTTTGGACAATGGCGACAGCCATAAAACGCCTGCTATGCTCTTTAAATTTACAACCTGCAGCCAACGTAAATCGACGCAGTATTCGTATCTGTTCTCCAGCATGCTCCCTGATCCTACCTCTCGTGCTTCCATGCGTCCGGTCGATAGTCGCTTCGCTCAGGCATGATGAGAGGATTGAGTTGCGCCAGGAATGTAATCGCTGGTTCACCGTCAGTAAGTGGCCTCTGAATAGCGCCATGGATGTAGTTTGAAACATACCCCACATGAGATAGCATGCGAATGCAGAAAGGATCAATGTGGACCGCCAGACACTGCAATCATGTTACCTTCGGAATACCGACGCAGAGTTAGTAAAGACATACGTCTGGTTCTCTCCCTTAGGACTTGCGACCCAGCTAACGGCGGAGAAGGCCAGGATAAATATCAGGCCGATGATAACGGACCATCTGATCTTTCGTTAGCCAAATAGTCGCCATGAGCTATCTACCGTCTTGCTCTTCGATCTTGACACCAGAATGCGCATGACGTTTCATACGAATGAGCACCGAGAAATGCGCGGTTGAAGGTGGCTTCAACATTGACCAGGATGCGAAAAGGGACTCACCCGTTCGCCATGTTGGAGAGCTAGTCCCCGCTCAATATGCGATGAGCTTTTGTGTTGAGATCGTGTAATCCGGACAAGTAGTCGCTCTGTTACTAGAGATAGGAATGAGGACGGAAGCTAGCACTGATGTCTTGCGGCGAGCCTGCGCCAATGCCTTTATGGCTCACCGTAGACAATGGGTTGCTCCGAAGCCGAAGAATATCCGATGGTCAGTCGCAGACGACCTCGTCTCTCTAGACCAGCGTCAAACACCGCCGTCTGCCTTACATCCTCCGGAGCCGCCGCATTGCGATCATGGCAGGCATAGGAGCTTCACATATTGCTTTGCAGCGGCAGCTGTGTCGCGCTGGTATCTCAAGGGCCATCAATGCCTCAAGATCTTTCGCATCAACCGCTCGCCAATCGGTCCAAGATATTGCGATTACGAGGACGGGCAAGCCGATCATTCGCATCTCTGGAGGACGGTGAGTTGCAGTCTTCTCTCATGATAACCGCCGGAAACTGACCTCGTCTCCAGATCATCACTAGGAGGTATTCAGCCCAAGAGACGTTCAAGGAGCATAAATTGATACAAGACAGGACATACCGCGACCGTCTTTGGCGCTACAGGATTCTTGGGCCGATACATTGTCAACAGACTCGGTCAGTCAGGTCTCTGTCATATGCGACGGCAACATATCCTGACGAGCAGTTAGCGAGGGCGGGATGCACAGTGGTCGTGCCGTATCGAGAAGAGATGGCCAAGCGGCATCTAAAGGTTTCTGGAGATCTGGGAAGGGTTGTTTTTATTGTACGGAACCTTCGCAATTTCTACGATCGTCCAAAGACTGATCAGTGACAGGAACACGATTTGCGCAACACAGCATCTATCGAGGAGTCCGTCCGCCACTCCGATATTGTATACAATTTGATCGGCCGCGACTACACAACAAAGAACTTCGACTTCGAGGATGTTCATGTTGATGGAGCGCATCGAATTGCTGACGCTGTTGCTAAATACGACGTTGATCGATTTGTGCATGTCTCATCCCACTCCGCTCTACTCGACTCGCCCTCGGAGTTCTACCGCACCAAGGCTCGTGGAGAGCAAGTGGTGAGGGAGGTATTTCCAGAGACCACTATCGTGCGACCGGCGCCCATGTTCGGTTTTGAGGACAAGCTGCTTCATCGCCTGGCAAAGCCTGGTAGCCTTCTGACGTCGAACAACTTCGAAGAGAAGATCGCACCAGTCCATGTCATTGATGTCGGTGCTGCTCTAGAGCAGATGTTGTATGACGATAGCACCGCTAGCCAGACCTACGAGCTTTATGGTCCCAAAGTCTACACAATGGGTCAGATCAGAGAGCTTGTCGAGAACGAGATCATGAAGACTCGCCGGCACATCAATGTGCCTCGGCAGATCATGGCACCGCTGGCGGATGTGCTCAACAAAGTATTGTGGTGGCCGACAAGTAGTAAGGATCAGGTGATCAGAGAATACCTCGACCAGGCGATCGATCCGGAAGCCAAGACGTTTGCCGATCTAGGCATGGAGCCTGGCGACATCGCCAAATTCACATTCAAATACCTGGTAAGCTTCGACTCGGTTCGTGACCAGGGCTCTGTGACTGATTTCATTTGCAGCAAGGATATCGTAGCTCAGCGTACTACGATCTTCCGCCCATGACGGAGAAAGAAAAGCGCGAGGAGAAAAAGTATCTGCATGTCATTGATGACCAGTAGACGAAATGGCAACACAGGTTTTTCCATGTATAGAAATTAAATCGGAACAATATTGAAGCTATCAGGGTCGTTCAAACTCTCTGTGTCGTCCTAGACCTCGATCTCTCTAACCACGTAGAAAAGCATATAGGCCTCGCTGCTTAACACCTCGTTCTCATCCACTAGCACAACCTTGGAGTCGTCAAACAGAAACCACTCATCGTACACCCTCGAGAAGCTGACATAATGCCCGCTGTCCATCTTGCCCTTATGCACTATGACACTGCTGAGCTCGTACACAGGTTTCGGCCGGACTTTGTCTTCGTCTTCTTTCTTGTCTTTGTCCTTTTTATCGCCGTTCTGCTCCTTTTTGCCTGCTTTACCACTCGTCACAGCGGATAAGGGTGGCGTCAAGTACGGGCTCAGATCGACCGTGGTGGGGAAGCGCACGCGCGTGTCGAGCTTGATACTCGACCCGTTGTTCTTGCTGTGGCTGAATCGCTTCAGGTGGATCGGCAGGACGGGCGGGAGCCGCGTTAGACTTAATCGCTTTGTGGCTTGTTGGGCGGACGAGCACCGCGTGCATGTGTAGTCTGTTGCGGGCAAGGTCTCGGGCGCGGTGAAGCGGTCAAAACAGTCCATTAACGATACTGGTGGCACTGCAGGCGCGCCAGACTTGTCCTTGTCCTTCTCTTTACCTGTTGTCATGGATATCTTATTCTCTTTCTTCTTTTGACCAGGTTGCCGTACATCCAGGCTCAGATCCATGAAAGGGTCTCGAGCTGTGGTGACATTCTTACATTTGGTACAAGTGACGGTGGACTGCAGCAGGCCGCAAAAGGTGCGATGTATGACACAGCTGCAGTCTTCGGCTTTTTCTTCTTTCTCGTCGGGTTCAATATTGGTACTGTGCAAGCTGTTGAGAATGAACTGCAGGTATTCATGCGCGTCTTGTTGCTGATAGCCAGCCAACGATCCACCACCACGCCATGACGATTGTAGCATCGCCACCATGCCATAGCCTTCGGCCTTTTCAACGCTGTGGAATTCTGAGAATATGTCATCGAGAGCACACGAAGTGCAACATTCGCGCTCGCATTCAGCTGATCTGTGCGATTCGGATAGATAAAAGGCTCGAATGAATGGGTTGTGGATTAATGATTGTAATACAACAGACATGAAGCATGTCTGGCCCATATTGTACATCCCTCGAAGGCCTAGAGCTCTGCACGGTACAGGAGACGAGTTAGCTGCGAGTAT